TTTTTTTTTTTACTATTCTGTCTCACTTTATTGCTAAGTGCTTTCTACGGCTGACCAAAGACGGAGCAATTTTCTTTCCTGCAACCATGGGGAAAGAAAATCGCTCAATTCCCCCATCAACAAAAACCATGTTTACAGGGGTATCCTCCCGGGGAGCCATTGTGTTCTCTCAGCTAAGGGGGACAAGGGAAGCCATCCACACCAAGAGAACACAGTGATTATTGCTAGTGGCTATTACAGCCACTAACAATAATAAAATCCGGGAGACTGGTTGTACCTAAGTTGATCAATCGATCAACTTGAATCCATTCAGCCTGCCCATACATGGTTCCAATCTCATTCGGTTCCTGCTGAACTATCCGTCTATCATACCGTCTCTACTTATGAGACATGACCTGTCCCCAACTCCTCCTGCCATGGTTGATCCAACAACAGCTAGGAAGGAGATGGCTGATTCACAGCTGCAGTTTGTCTTGGCTCGGAGCAATTTTCACAGACAAACAATGGCAGGATGAATGCAAAGGGAGAGTGATGTGTCACCCTCTGCATTCCTCCTGACATTGCTTGTGACACATATACAAGATTCGGTTAGTTCATATTTACACCACTTTTCAAACCTTCCGCTATGGCTGCAACAGGTTCTAAAAAAGTTTTAGCCAGTGCACAACTCTAACCTGCCATTCAGAGAAACACCAAGTAGTAGTTCAGGTATGTGCTAGGAAGCTGTCATGAACGTAACAGCTTCCCACACAGGGCTTTTTGGCTACTATAAAGCCAACGGCCTTGGCTGTCCCCACATAGAAGAAAAATATATTTGAAATATATTTTAAAAATATTCTTCCCAAATATATTGACATGTATTTGAAATACTACAATTTTGTCCGTATTCATTATATTTCAATACATGTGTGTGTATGTATGTATGTATGTATGTATGTATGTGTATATATATATATATATATATATATATATATATATATATATATATATATATATATATATACACCGTATATTGAAAATTGTATTTTGTAGTAATTTCAACATACAGTGTGTGTGTGTGTGTGTGTGTGTGTGTATATATGTGTATATATATATATATATATATATATATATATATACAGTGGGGATCGAAAGTTTGGGCACCCCAGCTAAACATTTGTATTAATGTGCATAAAGAAGCCAAGGGAAGATGGGAAAATCTCCAAAAGGCATCAAATTACAGATTAGACATTCTTATAATATGTCAACAAAAGTTAGATTTTATTTCCATCATTTACACTTTCAAAATAACAGAAAACAAAAAAAATGGCGTCTGCAAAGGTTTGGGCACCCTGCAGAATTTATAGCATGCACTGCCCCCTTTGCAAAGCTGAGACCTGCCAGTGTCATGAATTGTTGTCAATCATCATCTGGGAAGACCAGGTGATGTCAATCTCAAAGGTTTTAAATGCCCAGACTCATCTGACCTTGCCCCAACAATCAGCACCATGGGTTCTTCTAAGCAGTTGTCTAGAAAACTGAAAATGAAAATAGTTGACGCTCACAAAGCTGGAGAAGGCTATAAGAAGATAGCAAAGCGTTTTCAGATGTCAATATCCTCTGTTCGGAATGTAATTAAGAAATGGCAGTCATCAGGAACAGTGGAAGTTAAAGCAAGATCTGGAAGACCCAAGAAAAATATCAGACAGAACAGCTCGCAGGATTGTGAGAAAAAACAATTCAAAACCCACGTTTGACTGCACGATCCCTCCAGAAAGATCTGGCAGACACTGGAGTTGTGGTACACTATTCCACTATAAAGAGATACTTGTACAAATATGGTCTTCATGGAAGAGTCATCAGAAGAAAACCTCTTCTACGTCCTCACCACAAAAATCATCGTTTAAAAACTTTGCAAATGAACATATAGACAAGCCTGATGCATTTTGGAAACAAGTTCTGTGGACCGATGAGGTTAAAATTGAACTTTTTGGACGGAATGAGCAAAGGTACGTTTGGAGAAGAAGGGGCACAGAATTTAATGAAAAGAACCTCTGTCCAACTGTTAAGCATGGGGTTGGATCAATCATGCTTTGGGGTTGTGCTGCAGCCAGTGGCACAGGGAACATCTCACGAGTAGAAGGGAAAAATGGATTCAATAAAATTTCAGCAAATTTTGGATGGTAACTTGATGCCATCTGTGAAAAAGCTGAAGTTAAAGAGAGGATGGCTTCTACAAATGGATAATGATCCTAAACACACCTCGAAATCCACGGGGGATTACATCAAAAGGCGTAAACTGAAGGTTTTGCCATGGCCTTCACAATCTTCTGACCTCAACATAATTGAAAATCTATGGATAGACCTTAAAAGAACAGTGCGTGTGACAGACAGCCCAGAAATCTCAAAGAACTGGAAGACTTTTGTAAGGAAGAATGGGCAAAGATACCTCAAACAAGAATTGAAATACTCTTGGCTGGCTACAAAAAGCGTTTACAAGCTGTGATACTTGCCAAAGGGGGCAGTACAAGATATTAACTCTGCAGGGTGCCCAAACTTTTGCAGACGCCATTTTTTTGTTTTCTGTTACTTTGAAAGTGTAAATGATGGAAATAAAATCTAACTTTTGTTGACATATTATAAGAATGTCTAATCTGTAATTCGATGCCTTTTGGAGATTTTTCCATCTTTCCTTGGCTTCTTTATGCACATTAATACAAATTTTTAGCTGGGGTGCCCAAACTTTCGATCCCCACTGTATATATATGAAATTATTACAAGATATATGAAAAATATTTTGAAAAATGCAATTTTCAAATATACTGTATGTCTTTAAAAAATACATTTAATCTACATTTTTGGAATGCATTTACAAATATATGTAAAAAATATATGTTAAAATTACTTTTTTATATGTTAAAAAATCTGAAGAATATATATTTAAAAAAATATATTTTTTAAAATATTTTTCATGTATTTTATAATATATATAAAAAATGTATTTCAACATGCAGTATATAGTGTGTGTGTATGTATATGTATATGTGTATATATATATATATATATATATATATATATATATGTGTGTGTGTGTATATATGTATATATGTGTGTGTGTATATATATATATATATATATATATATATATATATATAATTTTTGAAATATAATGAATACTGCCAAAATTGTAGTATTTCAAATAGATGTCAATATATTTGGGAAGAATATTTTTAAAGTATATTTAAAGTATATTTTTCTTCCATGTGGGTCCTTGAAACCAATGACTAATCCTGGGACATTCACTGGTCAACAGCTGAATGTAAACCAAGGGGCCAGGGATGGATGTCAGTGATGTCCTTACTAAAATAAGGCAATGGCCATATTTTGATAAAAACAGGATTCTTGATGGATGGTACCTTAATGGGGCAGGGGATGAGTTATTAACAAAAGTCCATAGCCAAAAGATTCTTACATGGATTTGTCGTGGGCATCAATATAATTCTAAAAAGTGTCTTTGACAGCCTTTATGAATTCCAGGGACTTGACATTTAATGGCTCTACGAAACTGGCCAAAGTTTGGGAAGTGCCGCAGCAAGGTTAACTTCATCAAAATGCAGCTCCACTTAGAAACAAAAACATCCTTCAGAGAGGAGGGACGCTGGAGGAGGAACGCGGGACTCCGTTATACTCCAAAAGAGAAATAAGTCATTAACCATAATTACAGCTCTATATTGTGTCCACCATCTACCAGAACAGTTAACAGACACAATTAAAAGGAGGAGGTGTTGCTCACAGTTCTAAATAAAAACACAAAGAAATGTTGAAAAGCGATCGCAGTATATTAAAAAAAAAACTTGTCTTAACGTCCAGCTTTTGAATGAGCATTGTGTTGATCTGGTTATTTTGAGCGATTTAATAAATAGTTTTCAGTTTACGGTCGTCACTGACATTTAATCTAAACAATATTCTATTTGTTTACTCTTTGTTCCCCAGGGATGTTCTGCTCCACCTCCCACTCACACAGCTGGCAGTCGGATATATATTCGCATGGCGTAATTATTATGCCGCACACCGCAGGACTGCAGCACTTCACTTCATTCAAGTTGAATGCACAAAAGATTATTAACAGCCACTCTGGTGAACATGTAACAAATACAGTGCTTACTAAATCTGCTTGAATTAAAGGAGAGATTAAGCAAATGAAGCTGAGTACATATATTAAGGTTGGGTATTTGTGAACATGTCTGGATGTCTAGGCTAATGTGATGTCTATGTTCATGGGTATGATCGCTCCAGAAGGCGGATAAGCAGCCAGCATTTGAAGTGATCCTGCTAGTTATCTCTCAGGATCCAACCAATCTTAGAAGTCTAGTAGATGCTTTGTTTGACAGTACCAAGCCCTGATGAAGGGAACTCTTTGAACCCCTGAAATGCGTTGGCTTTATTATATGAGATGTTACATAGTAAGTCTGGCTAAAAAAAGACAAAAATCCATCAAGTTCAACCATAAAAAATTTTTTTTATAATCCTATACCCACAGTTGATCCAGAGGAAGGCAAAAAAACCCCAGCAAAGCATGATCCAATTTGCTCCTGCTAGGAAAACAAAATTCCTTCCTGATTCCCTGAGAGGCAATCGGATATTCCCTGGATCAACTTTACCTATAAATGTTAGTATCCAGTTATATTCTGTGTATCCAAGAAAGAATCCAGGCCTTTTTTTAAAGAAATCCACTGAGCTGGCCAGAACCAACTCTTGAGGGAGTCTATTCTGCATTTTCACAGCTCTTACTGTGGAGAAACCTTTCAATGTTTGGAGAATAAATTTATTTTCCTCCATATATAGAGTGCCCCCTTGTCCTCTGTGATGACCTCAGGATGAATAGCTCTACACCAAGTTCACTATATGAACCACTGATGTATTTATACATGTTGATCATATCCCCCCTTATGCAGGCCATAGATGGGTCGAAAATTGGCCGATTTTTCGGCCGAAAATAAAATCGGCCTATTTTCGGATCATTAGTGGGCTATTTGGTCGGCCGTTTTTCGGTATTTTGGCCGTTTTTTTTTTCTGTAAAGTTGGAAAAAAATCGGCTGATTTTGCCGATCGGCCGATTTTCGCGGCAATTAGTGGGCAAATCGGCCGATTTTTTGCCGATAAAAAATCTGCGCATGAGCAGTGACCTGCAAGAGGAAGACAAAAAGAAGAAGAGGATGAAGAAGAAGAGGATGAAGAAGAGGATGAAGAAGAGGATGAAGAAGAGGATGAAGAAGAGGATGAAGAAGAGGATGAAGAAGAGGATGAAGAAGAGGATGAAGAAGAGGATGAAGAAGAGGATGAAGAAGAAGAAGAAGAGGATGAAGAAGAAGAAGAAGAGGATGAAGAAGAAGAAGAGGATGAAGAAGAAGAAGAGGATGAAGAAGAAGAAGAAGAAGAGGATGAGGATGATGAAGAAGAGGATGATGAAGAAGAGGATGATGAAGAAGAGGATGAAGAAGAGGATGAAGAAGAAGAAGAAGAAGAAGAAGAGGATGAGGGTGAGGAAGAAGAAGAAGAAGAGGAGGAGGATGAGGAAGAAGAGGAGGAGGATGAGGAAGAAGAGGAGGAGGATGAGGAAGAAGAGGAGGAGGATGAGGAAGAAGAGGAGGAGGATGAGGAAGAAGAGGAGGAGGATGAGGAGGAAGAGGAGGAGGAGGAGGATGAGGAAGAAGAGGAGGAGGATGAGGAAGAAGAGGAGGAGGATGAGGAGAAGAAGAGGAGGAGGATGAGGAAGAAGAGGAGGAGGATGAGGAAGAAGAGGAGGAGGATGAGGAGGAGGAGGAAGAAGAGGAGGAAGAGGAGGAAGAGGAGGAGGAGGAGGAAGAAGAGGATGAGGATGAAGAAGAAGAAGAGGATGAAGAAGAAGAAGAAGAAGTAGGATGAAAATAAGAAGAATTCCAGTCCAGCAAAAAGTGTCTCTGCAGAGAGCTCCGCTATTTCTGACCGTTCTCTGACAGTTCTTTGACATTTACAGCGGTTGCAACATTGTATCTATTTGTTTCCAAATAAAAACATCTGTATCCTAAATGGAAACAAATAGATACAATGTTTCAACCGCTGTAAATGTAAAGGAACTGTCAGAGAACTGTCAGAAATAGCGGAGCTCTCTGCAGGGACACTTTTTGCCGGCTGTAGAAGGGATGAAAATCGGCCGATTTTTTTTTTTTTTTTTTTTTTTTTTTTTTTTTTTTTTTTTTTTTTTTTTTTTTTTTTTTTTACATTGATGGTAACGTCGGCCGCTTGAACGACTGAATTTTCGTTTTTTAAAAGGAAAATCTGCCGTTTTTCTCCCCATCTATGGCCTGCATTAATCTCCTCTTCTCAAGAAAGAATAAATTCAGTTCCTGTAATCTTTCCTCATAGCTGATCTCCTCCATGCCTCTTATCAGTTTGGTTACCCTTCTCTGAACTTTCTCCTGTTCCCCAATGTTCTTTTTGTGAATTGGTGCCCAAAACTGAACTGCATATTCCAGATGAGGTTTTACTAATGATTTGTACCGGGGTAATATGATATCTCTCTCTCTGGAGTCTATACCTCTTTAATACAAGAGAGGATTTTGCTTGCTTTAGAAACCGCAGTTTGGCATTGCATGCCATCATTAAGCTTGTGATCTACCAGAACCCCCAGATCCTTCTCCACCATTGATTCCCCCAGGTGTAACCCCCTAGTAGGTATGATGCATGCATATTCTTAGCCCCCAAGTGCAGAACCATACATTTATCAACATTAAACCTCATTTGCCACATAGTTGCCCAATTAAACAGAGCATTGAGGTCGGCTTGTAAGATGTGACAATATAATTCCTGGAATACCCACAGTGTAGCACTATGGTGGTGAGTCACACAGCCATTCGCACTTGAACGTGTTCTGACATGTTCTAATTTGCATTTGTCTGGGTCTCAGACCTTTTGACTCAATCTTTACGGAGTATTAGAATAAATAACACGTGTGTGCTTTGCGCTGTTGGCAGAAAATGAGTGACAGGAATATGGAGCAGTGGATTAACATGACATTTTGATTGGAAATTGGCAAAAGTGCAATTGAAATTTTAGTTCTGTTACAACAGGTTTATGGTGAGCATTCCAGGAAGAAATAAAGTGTTCTTGAATGGCATAGGCAGTTTAAGGAGGGGTGGTAAGATGTCCACGATGATGCAAGAATGGTCAACCAACATTGTTTCTTGGAAAAAAGTTGAAAAAGTTACGGGAAAATGTTCGGAGGAAAAGACTGGCCAGACAGGTGGATTCTCCACCACTGCAATGCTCCTGTTCACGAGTTCGTGGCCCAGAAATTTCATTTCGAAACTTGACCAACCACTTTATTCCCCTGACATATCGCCCTGTGACTTTTGGTTGTTTCCAAAATTAAAAAATTATTTAAAAGGGCAGAGATTTCATGACGTTCCAGACATCCAGTGTGCAGCAACAAAGATACTGCACAGCATTCAAAACAAATTCCAGGAATGTTTCCAGCAGTGGCACAGTTTTCTAGAAAAGTGTGTTGCTTCAGAAGGAGACTGCTTTTTGAAGGTGACAACAGAAGCTAGTGTATAAGTAAACAAACAAACATTTTATTTTTACAGTCCATTCTGGGAATTAAATTGTCATACCTCATATTTGAGTCTGGATAACATAAACCAGGGCATTTTTACATTCTGCTTTTGGTGCTTTCTTTCTTTGATCACCACTTTAAGGAGAGCTGCCTAAGGAGAAACATTCCTTCTATACTGCTTAAAGCAGACCTTCATTCAAAAGTGAAAGTGCCACTAATCTTCTTCCCCACCCCCAAGCCTAACACTTTTTAGGGTTTTTTCTATGGGGAGTGGACACCTTTTTTTTGAAAATTCCTCAATTCTCAAGAAGGATGTTTGCTCTCCTAGGACACATTACATGTCCAATGAGGCTGCAGGGCTAGTCCAACAGTGCAGTGTGTAAAGGCGGCAGGAGATGATGAACCTTTCCTCCATGTTTTCCATTAACTCATTGGGCACCAAGTCTGGCTCACATAAGACTGCCCCCAGGGTGGGTTTTTCTGGGCTATGCTAGGCACCTGTAACTGGATCACTCTCTTAACACATGGGGTACCCTTTGCTCCATGCTTTTTCATTAATGCACTGGGACAAGGCTGAGGCCATTATGGGAGAATACTCAACCTTAAGGCAGGCCTTCACTCTTAGAGATGAACGTACACCATGTACACTTGCACAATAGCTGTCATCCAGCTAACTCTCAGAACCCAAACTGTAAACCAGGTGTATGATGTGCCGGTTACTTGCACTGCACTCCTTTTATTAACTTTAGACCAGGCAGCAGGCAAGGTTTAAACATTTTACTTAGAAAAGGGCAAAACATGACAAGGTCTACATGCACAAGAACAGTCCTTTTCCCTACATCCCTAACGCAGGCTTGTGTTCTGCTCCGCATACCTGCAAAAGATGAAGGCCATCAATGTTAAAGTCCATGATTGTTGGTAGTATCCAGCAGCTGGCGTCTTTGGGCAGCACCACAGATCCCAGAGATCCTCCCATGGTTGATTTGTCAGACCAGGAGAGAGAATCCTATGACATACACATGTGTGTGTTACTCCTGGCGTCAGACCGCTGTTCTTTAGATCTCCAAAGGATCAGTTGGTCAGACCCAAAGAGCCCACCAAGCAAAAGACCTGGGAAAAGACATGAAACCCTAACCCTTCCTTCCGGGGCAGCACCTAACTCAGCTAGCCCACTTACAAGTACAAGCACAGAACAAGTTTGTGAAACGGGAGTCTAGCCTTCTACTCTGACTTTAGTTTGCTATTGAATTTTTCCAGGTCATTGACACAAAGAGGACATTAAAACTGCATCACGGGCTGGAGGTCTGCAGTGATACCATTTGACTTAGAAAAGGCTAAGTTGTCCTGGATTATGGTCAATTAGCATCTTTCTGCACTATTGAATGACAAAATCAAGATGTTTGCAAAAACCTGGAACCCCTTAATTTGATATCTGAAAGGGGATACTCTGGCACCTCAGTATACAGTAGATTTGTGGTCTGGATGTAGGGAGTTGACACGGCCTTTCTTCTTTCCCTTCTATCTTTTCTTCTTCCTCTTTTTGTCTGTTCCTACTCTTGGGAGCGTGACATCTCTAGGCTACGCTTTCAGGGAAGTCCACTCCCATTTGTTGGATTGCAAGGTCTTTTCCTCCATTTGATGGAGTTTGGAGACCATGTATAAAACAAGAGACTAGAATGAGCAGCACAGGTTTGTCCAATAGCTCCGCTATCTCTTGCCGAGTCCCAGCTGTAAATTATATTGAGCCTTGATATTCTGCTTTCTAGCTATTGAAGTTATGCTGCTATGGGCTTGATTAATTGAATTTGTCTCAAGTCCATATACTGTAATTCCGTGTGTATTGTTTGGTCTCTAGTTACTAAGGGCTCTAGTAGCCCTTCGCCAAGCCTACCTCAAATAATTCTATATTTATTTTGAATGCTTGTAGAGACATTTGACTTTGCACTTAAATATCATCTTGCAACATTGGTTGTATCTTTATTCTTTGAAAATTTTAGATAAAAATTATGGAAATTAAAACTGCATCAGTGCCACCAAACAAATATTTTCTGGAGAAACTCGGCAATGGCAGCCTACATATTTCTCTCAACACAGGTTACCTTTAAAAGAAAAAAACGTGTTGAGAGAAATAATAATAGGCATCCATGACTGACACCTGAAAATGCTGGTTCCCTGGCATTTTTTTCGAGTTTACTAACCTAGAGCAGTGTGCAGATAAAAAGCTTTGACTTTAACATGGCTGTATATTTCAGAAAGCACTGATGCCAGGTAATTAGCATTTTAAGACGAAGGCAGGGGCGGAGTGACAACTCGTGGGGCCCCCGGGCAATAGGGGATCATGGGGCCCCTGTGTCCTTGCTCAAACTCAAAAAAACCTATTAAAAAGGTGCCAGGGGCATCTCATGGGGCCCCCTACTGACCCCGGGCCCTCAGGCAGTGCCAGAGTTTCCAAATGGTCAGTCCGCCCCTGGACGAAGGTCAGCATTGGCCACATCAATATTCCCTATTTTGACAAAGCTAGTTTGCACGTGATGTTTGCAGCACAGCTGATTGTCTCTTTGTAATTCTACCCCCCCCCCCCACCATCTCAGTATGAGCTCTGCTGTACTGGGACTTTAAAAGGCTAATGCTAAATTATAATCGGATACATACCATATACTGCTTCCATTAAAATATACCTTTAATGATGAATTAATGATTAGAGATGCATTCATTTGTTTATTTTATATCTGACAGGAGTTGAGCTTTAGCTTTTCATTCAAGAGTTCTGATGCTCAGCATTGTATCAATGGTCAGAGTTTAGTGTCCTAGCATACACTAATTACATTCTACTAAATCCAGACTTCTACTATACCACAAATTATTAGCTTGATGAAGAAACCTTGTGTGCTGCTGACTACTATTGACTGGTATATTAAATTATCAAAAGATTAAAAGCTGATTATGCAATACAGTACCAAAGCTGGGAACAGTGTTATGACTAACAATGCATTAATTCTCCCCATGTAGAAAAGAAAATCATTACTTAATTCCATGGCTCATAGCAGGCAGGTTGATGCATAAATCTACTGGACCAATTAGCTATGACTTGGTGAAAACCTGCATTTCTTTCAGTTTCCATTAAAGGTATACTACTGTCAAAAAATATATACAGGTGTACCTCGGTTTACGAACACCTCAGTTAACGTAATTTTTGATTTACGAATGAAAATCCATGGAAAATAATGCCTCGGTGTGCAAATTATTTACAAATTTTATTTACAATACGAAGTGTATGTTGGTGCCGATTTTTAAATGCAATTGCCGGCTTTTTTTTT